GGTATGTACGTAGTAAGCTTGTGCCTCGTTTGACATGACTGAAGGATATCGGCTATGACCTTTGATAGAAAGGGGCAACCACGGTCTGTAAGCAGCTGGCGTGGAGCTCCATGTTGCTAGATCACGTCGTGTAGGAGGAAGTCGGCGACATCAGTGGCGCAGCTTGTTGGAAGTGCTCATGTGGTGGCGTAGCAGCGTGGCGTAGTCTGTGGCCACAGCTATTCACCTGTCGCCAGAAGAAGACAAGGGAATAGGGCCCAGGAAGTCTAAGCCAATGCGGAAGAAAGGTTCTGACGAAATGTCAAGTGGTTGAAGGTGTCCAGCGGGAAGCGTCGTTTGTGTTTTGCGGCACTGGCATTTATCACAAGCCATTTATCTTCTGACTGAGCGTGAAAGACCTGGCCAAAAGAAGCGTCGGCGAATATGGTCGTAAGTGCGTGACACACCAAGGTGACCGGCAGTTGGAAGGTCGTGGAGAATGGCAGAGCGGAGGCGTTTCGGAATGACGAGCAGCTGGGCTGGTCCATCTGGGTTGAAGCTCTGGCGGTATAGGACGCCATCGTGCAAGGACGAATGGGCGATGGGGCCTGTCAGAGAATGGTGATTCGAGACGTTCGATTATAGCTACGCAAGGATGCATCGCGGCGTTGCTCGTCACCGATGCAGGTCAGTTTCGGAACAGAGAAGACGCAAGTGTCGGTGTCGGTGTGAGGGATGGTGCTCAATCCTATCGACAGGATAGCGGAAGAGGCAGTCAGCGTCCTGATGTAGGCGTCCCGACTTGTACGTGACTGTATAGGTATATTCTTGCAGTTGCAGAGCCCAGCACCCAAGCCGGCCAGTAGGATCCTTCAGTGAGGAAAGCCAACATAGTGCATGGTGGTCTATTATTACAGAGAAATTTGTGCCATATAAATAAGGGCAGAACTTCGTGACTGCCCAAACAAGAGCAAGACATTCACGCTCTGTTATTGAATAGTTGCGCTTCGACAGCTGTGAGAAGGCGGACTAGCATAGGCGATAACTCCGTCGTGTCCCCGCTGTCATTAGGCTAAGACGGCTCCAATCCCGTGACCACTCACATCGGTTCGGACTTCTGTCGGAGAGAACGGGTCAAAGTGGGCCGATATAGGTGGAGTCGTGAGGAGGGCGATGAGGTGAGAAAAAGCGGCAGCTTGAGTGGAACTCCATGTAAAAATCACGTCTTTCTTCAGAAGGTCGGTGAGTGGTCGAGCGATTGTTGCAAAATCTTTCACGAACCTTCTAAAATTAGAACAAAGTCCCACAAAGTTCCGGACATCATTGACAGAGTGGGGTACAGGAAAGCTTGAGATGGCACGAATTTTCTCCGGGTCAAGCTGCACACCTGATGCGTCGACACGGTGGCCCAACACTGCAATCTGCTGGCGGCCGAAGTGACATTTCAACGAATTTAGTTGAAGGTCAGCAGTGCGGAAGATGTAGAGAACTGCTGACAAATGCTGAAGGTGTGTCCCAAATGTAGGCGAATATACAAGGATATCGTCCAGGTAGCACAGGCATGTTGACCACTTGAACCCTAGTAATAGCGAGTCCATCATACACTCAAACGTGGCTGGGGCGTTGCATAGCCCAAACGACATCACCTTGAATTGGTATAGGCCATCGGGAGTTACAAACGCAGTTTTTTTTTTTGTCTTTCTCGCCCACCGCAATCTGCCAATAGCCAGAACGTAGGTCAAATGAATAGAAGTATCGCGCGCCGTGAAGACAATCGAGGGCGTCATCAATGCAGGGCAAAAGATAAACGTCCTTTTTCGTGATTCGATTAAGATGACGGTAATCAACGCAAAAGTGCCAATTGTCATCTTTTTTTTAACGAGCACAATGGAAGATGCCCAAGGGCTCGAAGAGGGTTCAATAACTCCTTTGGCTAGCACCTTGTTGACTTCTTGAATTACCTTACGCTCTGTGGCAGACACTCGGTATGGTCGGTGGTGAATGAGAGGAGAATCAGCAGTATTAATGTGGTGCTTTACAAGGAAGTCTGACCGCGTAGAGTGCTGTTGATGTCAAATATGTCGCGGTAGGAAGCCAGAAGGCGGCATAGGGCTGTCGCATTGCTTGAGTTTCGGGTCGATAATGGGGTGCAAGGCCTGCATCGAGGGACGTAGCATCCTGCTGGCGACATGGAAGTTCGGAGCATGCGTCTGCCGCAAAAGCGGTGACGTGGGCGGCTATTAAGGGTTGCAGCGTGGGGACTAAAATTCCGTGTAGTAGTACTTGCTCCGTGAAACCGAAATTGAATGGGCAGAAATGTCGGGTTAGAAGCCATAGTTACGACGGAGTGTGGCATAGTGATGACGCGTGTGAGGAGAACATCAGGAGTAGGCGTGCCGACATAATCACCGTCAATAACGGGTGAACTTGTTGCAAATTCAATGAATTTGAGGGCTTTTGGTGGTATCCGACTGAAGTCTGTGGTGCAGAGGCTTTTCGGCTTGAGACAATCGTTAACTCACTTGAGACAATCTTGAGACTCACTTGAGACAATTGTTAACATTTCATAGCTTACAACGGTCGACACACGATTTTTCCAACGGAGAATCAACTTTTGGGAAAACATGAAGTGCTCTTTGGGTATAAATTTAAAGAAAAGTGAGGGACAGGGGGCGATCAGGGCATCCAGGTTGCCCCCTTGAATTTTGAAGTGAAAAGACAAAATATATGAGAAATACGAATATTGAAGCAGTACGTGCGCACAGCATCCCACCAAATGCTAACTCATCAAACTACCCAATAGAAAACGAACTACAAGCACGCTCCAGCACAGTCAGTTCGTTCGCTGTGAAGCAATGATGCGCACAAGCTACCTCTCTAACATGTAACTGTGATCGCAATGCAATAAACAAGGTAATGTTGTCAACAGAAGTGCACGCGTGTTCAAGTAGCTACAATACATGCAGTTTTGAAGCTCGTAAACCAAGCCGGTTTTTCTGTGCCTGCAAGAATACGGAGCGAGAACTCTCTTGTTTTGGCAAAAAGTACTTTCAGATTAATGTTGTTGCTGTCGCACATCAAATATGTGAAGGATGCTGAACGTAAAGAACGCATTGGTTGTAAGCAGTAGCCCGAGCAACGGAACGATCAGCTGCTTCTCGTCAGCCACAAATAAATCTGATAACTTGGAGGTTAGTTCCTTGCAAACCTTTTTTTTGGCATTCCAATTTTCTCGATCTGGGCAACACAGCACACGAAAATAAGTTCACAATGCCGTTCCTATCAGCTGCCACACATCAATATAGACGTTGCATAGCTGCACATGGGGAACATGCTTAGTCCTCTACGTGTCGAAAATGCACACGGATGTCGCCAGATGGCAGTTGATCTTGCATAAGATCACAAGACAGTACCTGAGAACAATTCATGTGGACACGCAAGTGTCGAGTGAGCTGCATGGAAGAGTAAAGCTTCTTTGAGATTGGAGTATGGGATTCTGCTCACAGAGAGGAATACTAAAGAGAAAACCAATTTTTCTCATATTACTAAATTACTCTTTCATAGTTGGAAAACCACTGTGCATGTTGCGAGGATGTGCTTGGTAAGCAAAAAACAACTCTGAAAGAAAATGTGGGCGGCGACACCACTTTGAAATTCCCGCTCCAAATGCCATCTACGTCATAAATTTTGAAACCATCTGCCAGGTCCTACATAGTTTCTAAATGGTAAAAATGAAATGCATTGTCCCTCTGAGGGCTCATGGGCTCAACACATTAAGTTTGAGGAAATTCTGTTGGGCCAATATCGTGCAAATATTGAAAAACGAACTTGACTGACGTCATGTACAGAGGTTTCAGCACGAAACTCGATATTGAGAATTGGATGTTCATTTTCTTCAGTATTAATGAATTCATGATAGCGAAATTAACAACATTAGAGTTCTCAGAGTAAAATTTATTGATGTAAATCAATTCATTGTTTCTCTTTACTGGGTTGGTTTCGTATATGTAATCCACTAGTCTGTTTTAAAGGAATTCTATAACAGCTTTTTATCTTAAAATAATATAAAACTTCAATGCTACATTCAGTTGCCTCATCAATTTCATGCCACAATTTATTTTCTAAACTGTCATACACATGCTGGGTTATCGCATGAGCAACTGCCAGGACTCGAGGTTTGGCTGCTGCGCGAGGAAGGAGGGTCTTCGGTATTACTAGTCTCCTGGCCCCTGCCTCCCTCTACTTCAGCAAGGACATGGAATAAAATTCCGTCTCTTTCCCTTTTTGCACCGATGAGCAAACCGGGAACCACAGAAAGGAATGTGTTGCCCAAGAGTCGTATCACTATGTGTCATGACCTTGAGCATTCTCTCTTATTTTTTGATAGCCTAGTGCTTGCTACTTGTGATTTGGAAGTGTGACAATGCTAGCATGCGGGTTTGCCCCACGCTGGCCATGCTACCAACATGACAGGGCACATTGTGCACGATATGGTCCACCAGTGCACCATTCATGAGTTAAGCCAATTGCTACGATACTCCCATGCTGCATAGTTGATAACAACACTGTGAAGAAAAAAACAAAGGCTTTTAGCTGCTCATGACACCAATTACAAACTGTCCGCAAAATGCAATGCAATAATATTTGGCTTACATATTCACACAGTCTTTGACAACGAACTGGCAATGTTTTCTGCATATATATATATATATAGTCAGGGCTTCCTTAAAGGGCTCACAAAGTATGACCAACAAATCAATGGCTGACAGCTGATCAGCCATGTTTTGAACAAAAAGAACGGCATGTGATAAGCTCTACTTTTGTCTTTAGCGATGTTAAAGTCTATAGTACGAAGTGGCCAGTCAAAGTGTGTTTCATATGCATAAAAAAAACTGGTTGCATCGATGATATCAAGTTTCAGCTTGACTACTGCTTTCTAAGATCAATCCTGGCTGATCTTCTGGCCACAACATCTGATATTAAGGCTATTCCATGACTAAATCCCTGAAGGATGTCAGTTATTTGGAGACATGTTTTCCAAGCTTTATTACCATTAATGGCCACAGACCAGATGGTTGAGATTGCAATAGGAACAAATATGGGCTTTGCGGCAAGCAGTCATACTCCTGCGGCTACCTGCTGCTGTATGCGCTCTATCATCTTGCGGTCAAGGTGCTTCTGTCGAAGCACAACCGAGAGTGAGCTCAGCAGACCAGTGACGAGCATGCTGCCTTCAAATATCCAGAAGTGCTGTCCCTCTTTCTCATTGTCACACCTGCAGCATGCAGGGAACATGTAAATGATCGCATGCATAAACTATGCAAAATACAAATTATATCTCATTGTAGATACAAAGATGTAGAGTGCTCACAAAATGTAATGTGACTTTAACACATTAAGTATAATAACAATTGGTCACGATAAATATGTTGCATCACTACAAACCTTCCCGTTAAGTGTAATCAATAAAAACCGTTGGAGTTTTTCGTCCAAAAACTACATATGACTATGAGAGACGCTGTGGTTGAGCGCTTTGAAAATTTCTACCAACTAGTGTTCTGTTAGCCTGCAACTAAAGCTAAGTACATAGGCCTCTAGCATGTGCCCTCCATTGAAATTGGTTGGTTAAGTATGATGCTGGCTCTGCTGTAAACGTACAACCCGATATAATGCTGATGTGACAAGTGAAAAACAATAAAAATGGGAAGTATGTCCTTGACTTAACCACAAGTTGATGCTGTTACTTTGCCATGACCACTATACAAACACAAAGATCTGCACGTGCATGCAAGGAATTTCAAGGAAAGCTTTAGGTTGTTAATGAACACAGCACGGGAATGATTCGGAGACTGCCAGAGCACATCACTTGTGGCAGGAAACTAAAGAGATACGTATTAATCATTTAGGAAGTTGCCCAAAATGCAGTAATTGGTTTCTGAGAAATCAACAGCAGGATGTAAGTGTAAAACTTCAGCAAGCCCACAAGATGTAGGAGACAGGGCGAGTTGGTTCCTTATACTTGAACTGGCATATTGTGTTACAGTAAAGAAAAAAACGGTCGAGAAGACTGACACAAAAAGACCAAGCGCTCTGTCCTTTAGTGTCAGTCTGTTTGGCTTTTTTTTTTCTTTCCCCTAATGCGGGACACTAGTTCCAAGTCCAGCAAGTTGCCAAGCAAATGTTATCTGTTCCCAGAACAATTGCCTGGTTATAGCTGCAGGGAATGAAAAAGGTAGTTCTGCTTATGTGTTGTCACCGAAATTTCATTTTGTAACACGTTTAATTTTATATGTTTCAGATAACTTAATGCAAAACAGGAAGTCTGCTGCAAGTCTGCTGTATTTAGATTTCATATGAGTGCGTGCCTAACAGCACTAGCCATTTTGTATCGCCATAGCTGTTTGTACTTGCTCAAGGTGATGTAAAGAAGTCAAATGATTCAATGTTTACAACTATATTCTAACTTCTAGTCGCAGACCAAACACTCTCCCGCTATGCAAGTGACAAATCATGCACGAAAGCTCTCAAATGCACTTAGCAAGCAGAAGGATGACAAGGAACCCCACAGTTTCCATAAAATACGACTAAACTGAATTAGAACAGCGAGGGAAGAGAAAAAAAACAAAACAAAAACAATGCAGTGCTGCATCATTCGCACCTTCTATAGACGTCACCTGAGCTCTTGCAGGTGACTAGTTCTTTGTACTTGGACTGGATGCATATTGGGAGGTGCTTGCTTGCCTGAAAGAGAGGCTGAAGAAAAAAATAACATCAAGACACGTGACAGATCAGCAGCTGAAGACGCTCGGTTATACAGCTGGCACAAGACGAAAGTCACATTTGTATAACAAAGTTCCATCGCTAAGTAATAATAGTAGTAGCTAGATCTAAGGTTGTGAACTGCCCGCGGCGAAGAAAACAGTGTCAGTCACGAAGAGCTGCAAGCTCGCGTTTCATCAGCAGCTGAGTGACGAAATATCGAGGCTAAGTTACGTGTGTAAGTGAGTGAGTCAGGCCGTGTTACTCACCCTCTCGAATTCGGTGCAAGGCAGTGCACTTCTGCTTGACGACGTACTCTTCTTTTTCCCAGCAACCCTCCGAAGAATTTGAACCGTTTCGATCACTGTCGTGGTCTGACAGGATGCTTTCCAGCGTCAGGATCATCAGACAGGCACTGTCGGAAGACTCGAAATAAGACGCCACACACCTCGCAATAAAAACGACAGCGATTTCCCTCGGAAAACACATAATGCCGGGCACTGTGCTGCCATAAGAATCACATTAGGAAACGAGCGTTCATTCAAAGCGAATGAATGATAAACATTGCGAAACTGGTCAGCAGCCGGGCGGTGTCATAAGGTAGCTTATGGGATTAAAAAAAGTCAGGTTACGAGAAAGATGAACGCAAGCTTACCCTATCAGAAAGACAGTGAGGAATATTATGCGTTTCAGGGAGCACACTTCGATCATGGTGAGCCCAACCGCGTCATTTGGAGCAGATATCTTCACCCTCGAGTCGAAGTCTCCGTGATCGTCCAACTGGAAGCCGCCATGTTGTTTACATGTCGAGTCGCGTTGCGAGGAGGCGTGCATATTGGCGTGTACGAAAGGAACACCGCAGTACAGTTAAGTGAAGCTACAAACTGCTGTTTTCGCCACTGTTATAAACCTTGACCACCAAAAACACTAAAATAAAGAAAAGAAGACGTGCGGGCCATGGAACGAAAAATAAACCCGTTTTTGGTAGTCGATTGCGATCGCTGCGGCTTAATATCGAATCACATTAAATTTTCCTTTCTGCTGACACGGTTTACTTGCTCTACGCCATTGTTATTCGTTACGTCGTGGTTTATTTTCGATGTACAGGCTATTCTATTGTGTACAAATTAAAGCCCTCCGCTAAGATCCGGTCCCACTGCACGTACCGGGGGTCATCCTCGAGTCCGTCGCTTGCATTCCCACACGTTCAACAGTTTGCAAAAGCAGAAAATCAAAAAAAAGAAAGGAAGAGAAGTGAATTGCTCGCTCGCGAAAGAATCATTTTGTTTCGATTAAACAGCAGGTTCTTACCGTATTCTTTCCGCTTTCACAAAATGCAAGACGAGAGCCGTCAAAGACAAAATCAATAGGCAATATTTTTTTTATTTAATTCTTTTTTACATGCAAAAAGCCCAATACTCCACCTCTCAAGCACACATAATCATATAAGACTTCTAATCGAACGTCGTTAGATGGGTACCCTGTGGCATGTAGTGCAACGGCGTGTTTTGTTCGCAGTATTCCGCCTACTTTCTCGTAGAGCGAGAACAAAAAAAAAAACACATATAGAGGGGCGAAGGCTAAATAGAACACTAACGATTAATACACGTACGCACACACGTATAAAACGTTCATAGCGTAATTATAAAAGCGCTACGCTCTACATCAATTCTTCGAAGAGTCACCATACGAAGCTGCCGATCTGGAGTGCGCTAGAGCCTCCCGAAAACGCTTAAGCTCGGGGTTGAAGCAAACCAGTTCGTCGATGATGTTGTCCACGACGAAGGACCGCGTGACCGAGCCGATTGCGGCGAGACAGAAGGGACACACGTTCTTCTGCTGCCTCCAGTTGTGAATGCAGTACGAGCAGAACGTGTGACCGCACTGCAGCATGGCGGCGTCCACGAACAGCTCGCTGCAAATCGCGCACGTCAGCTCGTTCTCCATGATGCTTTCCAACCTGCGCACTACGCAGTCGCTCGCGGACAGCCTGATCTTCTTGCTGTGCTTGGAGAAGGCGTCACTCCGGCCGGCCACTGCGAAGCCACTGGGCGACGCACCGGGCTGTACGAACACGTTGTTGTTGTCTCTGTCCGAGGGTAGAACGGGCGAGGAGTCACTTTCGCTTTCGTCAGACGCGGGCACCGCCGCCCTGTGAGAGACTTTGATGCCACTGTCGAGCTCTTTGGGAGGCAGGTTGGCGCCGCCGATCAGAATGAGAAACGCGCGAGGTCTAGAGGTGGTAGGCGTCCCTGGGGCGTTGACCCGCGTCGCCACCTCGGTGCCGAGGCTCGTCTGTGGCGAATCGAAAAACTACGTTCGTTCGCTGCGGCGGACCCAGCGATACCACATCGTCCTGTCGCAGAAGCCGCGGCCTCTCCGCCTCGACCCGCTGGCCGTTCACGTACACACCGTTCATGCTCGAGTCGTCCGCGACTCGCCACTGACCCGACGCGTCGCGTCTGAAGACGGCGTGGCGCCTAGAAACCATGACGGAACGCACACATATGCTGCAGTCGCTGCTGCGCCCGACACTTCCTCGTCTCTTTCGAGCACCACACGACCGGGCAGGGGACCGCTACGGTCGATCACTTGAGTCTCCGGCTTACACAGGGCCGCCATAATTTACAGGCAGCCACCGGAAAGCCCACGTACCGATCAGACGCTCTTCTTCTTTAGAGGCACTCTTGTGAACACATATTAGCAGCACGCGCCATCTTGGTTAGATCGTTAGATCATGTTGCCAGAACAGAAAAAAAAAAGCGAGAACATGATACAGAAGCTGTACACACATCTAGACTTCACTATTACCATCAAAAGGTAAAAAAATACTTTATAAATAGTTAAAATTTATTGTGAGTACTGACTATGTAGATCATTGTATACACAATTATTGCAATCATCATCCATTTGTCGCACGGACCGCGTCGCTTTTGTTGCTACTTTTGCCTCGCGCGAGTGCTCAATATATACTTAAAATGCTGCTTAAAATATAACTATTTTTTAAGTTACCGACTTTTAAAACTGACTGACGTAAACAGTATAAAGTGGCGCTGTCATCGACAAAAATAACGGTTTATAGTCGTAGTGGTTGTAGTAAGTCTCTGAGGCCATGTTTGTGTTCCGCAAGGTTTTGTCTGCTTTCGAAAGGTAGATGCCATAGAGTTTCATACAATAATATGGTAGAGGCACATGTAGGTTGTAAGCTTTTGTAAGCAGGAAAAGTGAAGCCGCCGTCCAACCATTACTCCCCTTTTACCACTACCATTGCTAATTGAATAAAATTTATTCCTTTTGCAATTCAGTCATTTATTTCGTCACTAGACCGCATAAGTACGCACTATGTTCAGAAGCATGTTCTGACGCATAGAGTTAATGTCTGATGAGACGAGAACGCTACAATGTTTATTTTGGCAATGTTTTTGTTCGCGGAGTGGTGGTGCTAAGTGGCTTTGCCGATTGGAGCACCTTTGCAAGGCACTTATACGATGGACAAGGACGCTATGGTGTACTGGAATGGGGCAGTGTACTGTCTCCACGGCAAACCATAGAGTTTCATACAATAATTATTAACCACATCAGGCACCGAACGCTTCATAGGCTGCATACGATAATATTGTATGAAACCTATGAAGCTCTATGCAGCAAACCAGTGGTACAGCGGTGGTCGCTTTTGCCGTGACGCTACCAGGTGGCTGCCACCATCGAACGGTGTGCTTGACGCGCGTAATTAGAATTTGCATTGTCTACTTTTGTGCAGATTTTGAGTAAAATAGTCACATAACAGAGTTGAAATTAAAAACATCTGTAAGATTAAAACACATTCAACCATATAAATACATTATTAAGGTAAATAATGCTCGACAAATAATAGCAGTAAGCTAGCATATCGTCTGCTAGCTTACTGTTTTACCCGCAGAAGGGATAAAAAAGCACATCGCTATTCATTTTATCCATATGTACCCCTGCCTAGCTATTACACTAACTTGAAGTCATGCGACGATAGAACAGAGGAGGCCCTGAAGGATAACGTTATCAGCGGGCAAGTTCCACGACCACCACTTGCCTGCATGAGCCAGGAGAGTAAGCAGTCGCGCTGTTAAAAAAAATAACGCTCAAGGACATACTGCTCTACTTGTTTATATATTTTTATAATGATTTTATACATTTTACAACCACCGTGGCAACTACAAGTACCAATCTCGGAGGCTTCATATCCCAGTTGCTCAAAAATTACTTCAGGAGGCGCCAAAAGGTGGCGATACAGTAGTACGATGTGCTCCGGCAGCACTGGCCGTCATCGCAAAAAGAGCCACGTCTGGGGCGCCAAATTACTAGCCACTACGGCACACTGCCTCAGTAAAGTGCATCATAAGGGCGCTTTTACCTTTGAAGCCATGTCGAAACGCCACGTATAGCCTAATCAAACAAGGAAATTGACCGTCGGCGGTGTCGACACGAGTAACGCAAAAAATCACCATCACGTGATGACGTGACAATGCGGCTTCGTCATGTGGTCACAGATTGCCTAAATTTGTGAAGCCATCCTAACTTGATTTATTGTGACGTCGGATGCCATCGCGTGACCTCGTCATTTGTTAAAACGTGAGCCGATAACGGAGACTGCACAAGAAGCGCGGTGCAGAAAAAAGCCGCCCGCATCTTCCCATGGGGGAAACTCGAGTAACTGCGTCGCAGAATGGTGGGGGTACAACGTGAATGTTGCGTAAGGTGTATAATTTGGGAAGGCTGTATTGCTATTTTGTCTTTATAAGTCTTATTTACTGATAGAAGGAGACGCATTGCCTTCAACGAGTCGTGGGACGCTGATGTTGGGTTGTGCCCCACTACTGGTTGAAGGTACCCTTGCTTCCATCGCATCAAGCAAAGCGTCCAGTCAAGCGAAAGCCAAGTAAGACGCTCTTGACTCAATTCTAAATGCTTGAGCAGTCGGTTTTTACAAGCAGACGCTGTTTGCGTCGACCTTGCGAGGCGACAGAGCTAACGTTGGCACGAGACGCGAGCATGCGCAGTGCGGGTTTGGCCGACGCCGGATTTGCTAGTAGGAGCGACTATGAAATGCTCCGCATTTAGAAGGTTACAATGCCCCAATCCTTGGAGGCAGTGCAAGCAAAGTTAAGTTGCAAAAATCTTTTCAGAGGAGGGCGTGGGGGATCAATACATCGGTTGAGAAGGAAAATACGTTGCTCATAACTTGCTGTAATGCTCACGATTCCGAGGACACGTGCTACCATATTAGGCGCCGAATGCTTCCGAAAGGTGGGCTGGGGGATGATTACATCTATAGTCGGTGACAACCTAAGAATAAATATGTTACCAATAAATACGTTACCTGTCTTTCACAAACTATCTCAAGGTCAACGCTGACGAGGAACATCCTGCTCACTCCACAGTTAAGGATCTGTCCAATTGTACCTTGTTCAATAACCGTCCTTCGCTGAGACAGCCCTACTCACTTCGTGTCAGGAGGCTCATTGTTCTAACATCTGTGCCATTTTTAGAACAAGGTTTGATGGCTCCAGCAGTATATTTGCCACCATGGAAGTGGCAAGTTACAGACTGCAATCTATCTTTCATGGAAGTCACTAAAGACTCGATCGCCTACTGCACATATCTGCACGCACTTCCTCGAACTTCAACTCAAGTACATTTGCCTAGAATTTTTCACAAATGCTTCAAAGTCTCGCACTGGTGTGTCCTATGCAGCTGTTGGCCCATCATTCTCCAACTCCGGTACTCTGCACTCAGAAACAAGCATCTTCACAGCAGAGGCTCACGCGGTATCTGTGGCCATCAAGCATATTGAGAAACTGCAACTACAACGCGCGGTAATATACACGTATTCGCTGAACGTCGTAACGGCTCTGAAAACTGTGCAAAAACGGAATACGCCGAGTTTTTCCAACACGCACCTGTATTCGATCAACCCAAACTTGCAACTTCGTTTGCCCTCCGGGCTCCCACGATGCGCTGAAACTTTACCGTGTCGCATGAGGTCGGGCGTGGCATTTACGAATGCGTACTCTCGTCTCCTTGGAACGGTGAGCACTTCGGCATGCAACATCTGCGCCTGCGAGGAAACGCTTGAGCACATTCTATGCCACTGCCCAGCATACCAGTATGAACGACGTATTATGGAAGCCGAGCTCTGTCAGCTGGATTCACGGCCGCTTACAGAAGAGAAGGTCCTGGGTCCTTGGCCGACGGTTTCCCATACGCGCAAAGCCACGAAAGCCCTCTTGTACTTCTTAAGGACCACCAGACTTCACGACCGCTTGTGAAAGAACTGTGCGAGGCCGTGCTGTGTAGTCGCGAGCTGACTATTCATCCTTCTCTTTCTTTCTCCTCTTCTTTTCTAACCCTTTCCTCTCTATTATACTCCCTTTCCCTCACCCCAAGTGTAGCATAGCCAACCGAGCCAAGCTCGGCTAACCACCCTGCCTTTCTTCTCTATTTATCTCTCTCTCTCTCTCTCTCTCTGCGAAAACGTAAAAATCCTGTCCTTGTGTCTTTGTACTCTCTGTTATGCACAATTTATGCTTTTAAACGACACGTTGTAGTCTGATGGGGTAGGGCACCGCGAAATCGCTGGAAACGAGTTGGCGGATCAGTTTGCCGCATCTGCTCAAGACAACGCTGCCGCCAATACATCTGTAGCTGTCCCTGCACTTGATCTGAAACCTTTTCTACGACGGGAGCTCAGGTGTGCTGGCAGCGCCTATGGGAACAGAAAACAAACTACATGTCATCAAACAGAGAATTGGAAATCGGACAACAGTATTCAGATCACGCTACACACAAGTCACACTTACAAGACTACAGATAGGACACACACACAGTTGACACATTCATATCCACGTACCTTTCTTCAAGTTTTGTTATCGCCATGTTACACTATGTTAAGCGCAAACCACGCCTGCGTTGTTAGAGAAGCTTCGAGGCTGATCGTTTAGTTAAGATTACGCCCACTTCGTGAATCCTTCAGATTATTCTGGAAACAACGTTGCCGCTAGCGATAACACTAGAATGTTCGACGGCAAGTGTGACACGCTTCGCCACTTGTCAGTTGATCGACGGCCGACGCTCCGTTCACCGCTATCAGTCCAAGACTGCTACTGTAGTCCGACTTTCCGTTTACTGGGCACAGGGTCGCCCAAATAAACAATTTATTATTCGACTCACAGTGTGCTCCATTCGTCCACGTCACTAACACGTGACAATGTCTTTTGTCTGGTGGCAATGCACCATTGTGTGAGAGATCGGTTCTCCACATCTTCGTCCTGTGCAGTGATTTAGATTCTCTCAGGAAAAAAAAAAAAAACACTTTATTGCCCTACCCACAACAGATACCCTTGCACCCATCTATGTTCATTGGTAGAGAACCCCCTTTTTCACATAAATCATTGCTGGCGTTTTTAACAGACGTACGTACCTTAAACGTCATATACCCAGGCGCTCCGTAGCAATATCTCTGAAGAGATGTCGCTGCCGTGGTGGCTACATCTTTATCATTGTTTTATTATCACGACGTGTCACCATTTACTATTATTGCACATATTTTACGTCAATGTCATGGTTTTGATGCTTCTATGTTTTTACCAACGTTAGCGCGAGTAATTTTAAGGCCCTTTTACAGCCACATATCATAATCATTGTTCGCATCACTTGATTGATATGTGGGGTTTAACGTCCCAAAAC